AAAAAATCAAGCAAAGAATAAAATATGATAAATTACCAACAATAGCAGATAACGGAAAAATAAATCTATAGAAATGAAAGACTAGAAGCTAACCAACAGCAAACACCATTAAATTTGTAATCAAATAATGGATTTAACAGTCACTCTTATAGCACATCAATAGCACCAAACTTTGGAGGACATTTTTGTAGCTACAGGGACACAAACAATGAATTCTTGGATTCACAGTCCAGGTATGCTTACCACTAAGCCCCATGGCCTTGAAAGAGAACAATGTTTTGTTGAAATAGAAAATTATCATTGTACAAAACATACAAACAAACTACTTTTAGTGTGAGAATCAGAATTAACAATAACTGTACAATAATGTTTGTTTGTTTGTTATGAATTTCACACAAAGCTACACGAGGGCTAACTGCACTAGCCGTCCCTAACTTAGCAGTCAAAGACAAGAGGGAAGGGAGCTAGTCATCACCACCAACTGCCAACTCTTGGGCTACTCTTTTACCAATGAATAGTTGGTTTGACTGTCACATTATAATGCCCCCTTGGCTGAAAGGGTGAGCATGTTTGGTGGGAAGGGGATTTGAACTTGCAACCCTCAGATTGCGAGTCAAACGCCCTATCCACCAACAGTAAAATAAAAGTAAGCCCTATCAATATGGAAGTTCATCATTTGAGAAGTTTATTTTAATTTTTTTATTTATATTTCTATACAAAGTACATGTATTTGTTTATTATTACTATTATTATGGTGCCTGGTAGCACTACTTAAATACCAATTTTTGATAAACCTTAATTTGTTTGTATTATGTATCTCTAATTACATGTGTAGCTTTTTCTTTTACTTTTGATGACATTTATTTGGATAAGTTTTGGTTATTGTTGTCTTCCACTTATTTGTATTTATTGAGTCAATTTTGGGGGCTATAAGACATTACCTGTACCTAAGCTTGTCCAGTATTGTTTTTTGCAATTTTTTAACAGATTCATTCATACTGTGATGCATCTTTTTTATTTTATGACAGGCATTTTGTTGCATTCATTTGTGATTATTTCAGTTAACTCTCCTTAATGTGTTTTCAATTCACATAAGTATTAATAATTCTTTCAAAAATTCACTTTTGCTCATTTCATATTCTGTTTTGCCACTTTTAAGTTCATTTTTTATTGTTCACTGAGTCTGATGACAGCTCCTAAATGGTTTAATGTGAATTCTACGCATCAAAGTTAATAAAAAATCCCATATTTAATATATTTTTTAACTTTTAATCATTGAGAGCTAAATTAAGTTGGAAAACTACAGATAAATATTTCCACAGGACATCCAGAAATGAAACACTGAATTATTAAACAGGAGAAATTTTATAAACTACTAGACAGTTATAAAACAACTAGGACTTTATTCTGTAAAAAAAAAAACAAATTAACATTTTTAAAGTTTTGAAGTAATCAACGAATTGTGAAGATCTGTGTACATTAAATTAGTGTTTACACTAAGGTTTGTAAATAGTGGACCCCAAAAATATCCCATCGATCTAAAATATATAGGGTTCATCTCAAAGTTTTGAGCTACTTGCAGTAACTGTGAGCTGCCTATAACAGAGGTGCCCTTTTTTTTCCAATGAATCTGTCTGATGTTTATGATCAGTACACAGATCATATCATATCAGTAAGAGAAATATCACTTCTCTTACTTCCCAATGTAACACTAAAGACACTAGTAAATATTTTTAATAAAACACTTCACCTTATAAAACCAGTTTTTAAAGGCTTTTTGAAGTTTTTTTCTAAAATGTTATTTAAAATAAGTGCCTGTGAAGAGTTTTACCTATTGAATGCTGCTATTATACTTCAGATTTTCAATGTGAAGTGATAGTTTAGTTTGTTTTAAATTTTGTGCAAAGCTACATGAGAGCTATCTACACTAGCTTTCCCTAATTCAGTAGCGATGATAATACTATAATGAATAATGTACGTCAAATAAATAAATTAGAGAAGAGGGGATGTCTAGAGAGAAAATGTCGCAATTCTCACATTAGGGAAAATTCAGGACTTTTTTTAATACTGTCTTATAAAATTAAGAACTTAAAACTTGTATATATATACTATTAAAATATGGATTATTAGCTATGTTTTTATGCTGTACATAATGGTATACCATGAACAAAAAGTAGTTTAATTAAATTTTGAATGCTCAAGCAAGAGGGTTAAAAATACTTGAACATGCAACTAAATGATCACTTGTTTAATTTTGTCGTATATTATAATAAAATAAACAAAGTTGTAATGGGGATAACCCTTGTTCTTAATCTCACAAACCTTTATCTTAGTCAATATCCATTGTAGTGTTTCAAACGTTTCCACATAAGCAACACTTAATTCAGTAACTGAAACCTCATGCACTCCAAAATGAATTTTAGAAAGAAAGAATGTGATAATCATTTCTTTCTTTTTTCTAGTAAACTATTTGATTCTATAAAATTTTAACTTTCCTATCAATTTTCACGAATTTAACTTTGAGCAATCATTGGCCATTTCTGATAGGTTGGTTTATTACTGCCTGGATAAGATCCAAAATTATGTAGCATTAATTATAAGAACCCCAAATGCCAACTTACTATAAGATGCTGAAACACAAAAGTTTAAAAACTGCAGACCAATGATCAAAGAAGTTGATTTAATCATTTCCACAAATTAAGTCACAATTTTACCTTTCAGTAAATGTGTGAAATTCCTGCATTTCATAAAACATCAGCTGTGTACAAATATTATAGTTTCAGTGTCAAAGAAGGCTAAGTAGATATAATAATATTTTAAAGAACACATGAAAAAAACATGAGACTCAAAATTGACAGAGGATAAACTATCATACACACTTTTAAAGACATTGCAAGCCTGAAAAATTTCAATGAAATTATCTAATGCTTGGCATTTTATTAATCTGAATGTAACATATGTAACTAAAAAGCATATAGTGAAAGACAGTAGTCCAACATTAAAATTAAGAAAAATATACAAATTTTCAACCCTCTTGCTATGAGTAGGTCAAGAAGTGCATATCACAACCCTTTACAAAGTTTCATTCAAAACTTAATTAAACTTACTAACATGTAAGTTTAAATTACTTGTCATTTAATTTATATTTAACTATGAATTAATTAATGTTTTTAATAAAACACTTCACCTTATAAAACCAGTTTTTAAAGGCTTTTTGAAGTTTTTTTCTAAAATGTAATTTAAAATAAGTGCCTGTGAAGAGTTTTACCTATTGAATGCTGCTATTATACTACAGATTTTCAATGGGAAGTGATAGTTTAGTTTGTTTCAAATTTTTGTGCAATGAAAATTTTATTGTGCAATTACTATTAATGTAGTTAATAATTCAATTTTTAATATTTTATATATAAGTTTTAATTTCTTAATTTTGAAAGTAAATATTTGAATAAATCCTCAATCTCCCTATGAGAGGTGTGACATTTGTTTGCACCATTTCGCCTATTTTTTTCATCACCCTCTCTGATGTAAATTACTCATTATAGTATAAATATGACTAAGGCAAAGTCTAAATTTTATAGTATTTTATCTTCTTTGTTTACAGAGACATAAACCAGAAAAGCAGACCCAACTGTAACATCCTCTCTTTCACAAATTGTCAATAATTCTTTCTGACATTTTCTGTTATGTGTATAATCGGTAGAAAGACAAAGTTTTGGTTCACCAAATGATACCAAAGAACATATAATAATAACACACAAAAAGCAGACAATGTCCCATAACTATCACTATTTTTCTGGGTTTCTAACAATGGGGCAAGAGCCATTAAAAATTCATCTAAGCTTGTTGATGTGTTTCCTGTGGGAATAAAGCTTGAACTGAAAGCAAAACTGACATTTCTCTGTACAGAAAACAATGTAATAAAATATGTCAATTGATAGATGAATACCTTGACTTTCTATTGATTATAAATAATATAGTATTGAACGTAAGAGAGAACTATTAACAAAACCTGAAAGACAGGATGTGACAGGTGGGTGTGGCAAGAGGGGTCTGATTGTTTATTTCATAGCTCTATAGCTAAATAAGATTGAAAGCTATCCAAATTATGCTTTGCCTGAGTGATGATGATATTATAATGAGTAATTTAAGTTGAATTTCATACTTCTTGAAGGGGTGGTAAATAAATTAGAGAAGAGGGGATGCCTAGAGAGAAAATTATCCTACTAGCGGAAATTCAGGATTTTGTTTTAATATTGCCTTATAATAGTAAGAACTTAAAACTTAAACGCTATTAAAGTATGGATTATTAGCTACGTTTTTATGCTATACATATTGGTATACCATGAAAAGAAAGTAGTTTAATTAAATTTTGAATGTAACTCACTAAAACTATGTGACATGTACAGAAAAAGATGCCTGTGGAGAGAGGGTTAATAGAGATATCTGCTTAAGGAAAACTTGTAGAAAAAATATACATCCAAACATGTTTTCGGAAGCATCATAAAATAAACTGTGTTGACAAAAATTGTTTTTCTTATTTTAGCACAACACTAAACAATGGGATATCAGTGCTCTGTCTATCATGAGAAATCGAAACCCCAGATTTTAGTTTTGTAAGTCTGCAAACTTAACACTGACCCACCAGGGAACAAAAAATAGTAGTATTAACAGAAATTTAATTTATATCAAGTTGGAACAATATATGAATTTAGCCAAAGAGTAGAAGGTAAAAACTTATTGAACCTTAAAACAAAACTACTTTCAAACCTGAAAAAATAAATCTACTTATCCCGAGTTGAAGGAATTTAAGTGTACGAGTTTACTCACATTAGCATAAAACTCATCATGCTCTGCTGACATCACAACTTCCTGAAGATCTTTGCTGATCCCCGGAACATCAGCTAGATTCACCCTGTTGTTGTTGATTCCTAGCAGTTCGTGTACCATAGCTTGGTATGTCCACTGGAATAAGGGGGAACACAAATGGTCTAATATCATCACATATGTTTATCAAGACATTCTGTCTAAAGTATGGTTATTTGGTTCACATGCATCTATGTTTTTATCATCAAGTCAATGAGACCAGTTTATGTATATAAAACTTAGGTGTATGTGATTTCTAGTAACTAATGGGAAGTAAATTGACAAAAAAAAAAGAAAAAGAGAGTTATATTTGAAAGAAAACATTAGAAGACTATCTAATCAACTTCAATATTAAAATTCAAACCCACTTAACTAAGTTATTTTGGATACAGAAGTAAATATTTATGATTCTTTTATTTTATTCTGTTCAGCCAGATTGTATATTCATTTGCTTAGAAAGTATTTCTTAGGAGATAAAGGTTCTATAATCAATCTAGTTTTTCCATGCTTTGCAAGTTATTTACTCAAATATGTGACACATCTTTCTCTTCTTTTTGCAATTGTTTAAAAAGTAGTAAAAATTTTGTCATTATGAATCTAATTCCTTTTAACAATGAAACTATTTATGATCACTACAGATAAAAATAGAAAATAAAATCATATGATGATAAAAATAGCATAATATTACATAAACAAAATATGTCTAGACATTTCAATGTTGTGTTTATCAAGTATAATCAACTTTAGTATAACATAACACTTCTATACAGGTAAGAAGTTGAAGCAATCAGCATAATGTATTTGAATTCCAAATTTTGATTGCTTTCTGCCGATCAAAAAGGAAAACAAACCAAAATTTAGGTTCTCTGATTATAAAAGATGAGTTTTTAGTGTAAATAAATAAACTTGGTGCATTTTATAGAGATCACATCATCTTACATAACTCAAGTCATGTTGGAGAATAAGATTCTTTATTTCAAAACCACCACAATGTTCTTAAACCTAAGTAACATAATGAACATTTTCTATGATAGTAATTAAAATAGGTTCTGATATTTTATGGGAAGAAATGGCAAATATTATGTATACCTCAACATCTACTGAATTACTATATTTTCAGGATTGATAAACAGGATGTCTTCTGCAGAATGATAACTAACAAAAAGTTGAAAGGAATCTCATTCTATTCTCTTTTAACTGTCAAAATACTGACTTGTACAAATACAAAGATATACAGGAATCCCTAGATTAGTGCGGTTAATGTGTTCTTTAAAAGAGACGCACTAATCGAAAACACACTAATTGAATATAATAACTTATAGGAAATCATATAATTTGTACCTCAATTTTCATTCTCATTCACAATTAATTTCTATTTTGCGCATTTTTTAATCAAAGTATAGGTATAAAAGAAAATACGAAA